CCTTCTTCCTGATGTTGCTATCGCTTGGGATTGCTAAAACTATCACTACGGCCTTCTTCTTCTGTCCACCACTACTATGTCCGGTTGGTTGGCCATTACCAGTTTGTCAGTTTGTATCTGGAAGTCCCACAGGATTTTAGCTTGGTCATTCTCAACCACCTTTGGAGGTAGTCCCTTCTATAACATTAATATGAGTGATATTTAACAAGTAAAAACATTAAACAATTAGTTTGATGCCAACCTGATGGTGTATTGTGGTGTTTTCTTTGCATTTTATGTTTTGTTGTATTTTATGATCGTAATTTGTAATTTCATTTCAGTAATTATATTTGTAATACAAAGATGAATTAGTATTTTATTTTGCATTCTCAGAAGTTTAGTCTTGACCATATAAAGAGTTTATGTAAAGTGTTGATCACTTGATCAAATAAATGGCAATGAAGGGGACAGACCCCAGCAGTAGGTGAGTAGTAGAGAAATACAAACTGTCTACTTTTTAACAGCAAGACAAGACTTATTCAAAGTGGTTTAGGTGAAAATCGAGTTTAACTCTGAGTTCAGGGAAAATCATGTTTTCACCTAACCTGCAGGTTTTAAAATGGTTTTGAATGTTACTAAGGTGGCCTGTTAGCTTACAGCACATTTGACCGACAGATTGTGATTTTGAATGTAAACATGCAGAAAGTTGAACTCTGCAGCATTCAGAGCCGTGACGTCATCAGGCTTTGATCTTCGTGACGTCACCAAGTCTCGGGCAGCAGCTCACCTAATAACTGCAGCTTCACAGGCAATCAGACAACTTCTGAACTTCAATAGAGACACCGCGCTAGTGAGCAAGAGAGTTAATACTCGACAAACAAACGTTTAACAACATCTATTCAGTGAAATACTTGGTATTCAAGTAAAAAGTTATTCTTCCAGTTAAAAAAATGGCAAGTTCTAGCGACAGTTACCAGAAAGCCAAGACTGAATCCTTTATCAACAAGGAGAAAGAAACTAGAAAGGAGCTTGAGAGGCTGAGGCAGTACAGTGACGCTGAAGCTCTCAGCGCCTCAAACATTGCCACTCAGGTGGGCAATGACATCAAGAGGAAGAAGAAGAAAGATCTTCAGAGAGATTACGAGGAGCTGAAAGTGGCATACGCCATATGCCAGGACAGGTTTACGGGTGAGCTCAACACGGAGAGGAACAAGATCAGCGCTCTCCAAGAAGAACTGGAGAAGCTCAGAGCTTCACACCATGAGCTCAGCGTTAAAAATCAAAAGGATGCCCTCGCTCTCAAACAACAGGTGGAAAGTCTTCACAGTGAGCATGAGACGGAAAACAAGTCTCATGGCGACACTGTGGTGCATTACCTCCAGCTGATCGACACCCTGAAGGCGGAGAAAGACACTCTAAAGGTGGAGAAAGACACCCTTCAGCGTGAGCTAGAGACTGAAAAGCTCACTCATGCAGCAAGGGTGGAGCAAGATGTCCAGCTGATTGACACCCTGAAGGCGGAGAAAGACGCTCTAAAGGTGAAGAAAGACAGCCTGAAGGCGGAAAAAGACGCCCTTCAGCATGAGCTACAGACTGAAAAGCTGGCTCATGCAGACAGGATTGAAAAAGATCTCCAGCTGATCGACACCCTTCAGTGTGAGCTGGAGAATGAAAAGCTCACTCATGCGGACAGGATGGAAAAAGATCTCCAGCTGATCGAGGCCTTGAGGACGGACAAAGACGCCCTTCAGCGTGAGATAGAGACTGAAAAGCTCGCTCATGCGGACAGGGTGGAGCAAGATCTCAGGCAGATCGAGACTTTAAGGACTGAGAAAGACAGCCTTAGTCAAAAGATGGCAGAGGAGATGATGAGCATTCAGAAAGAAGCTGACCACAAGGTCATGGTCTATGAGGGAATACTGGAGCAGCTGGAAACCATGCTCGACATGCAGGTCACACTCAACAACCAGCTCTTAGCTAAGCTCAATGCTGAGGAAGTCACCAACAGTGAAGAGCATGATGACCCTGAGGAACAGCATGAGGATGGACAATGTGAGGACCAGGACTCTCTCCCTGGTGCCTTGCACGATGAACTGACAGAGAATGCTGTGGTTTCTGAACAGATCGTCACAGGGACAACTAAACCAAAGTCTCGGTGGAAAAGATTTCGCCACTTTCTGGGGTTGAGGAAACCACAGAAGTGGAAGAAATAAACCCAGCTTCTCCCAACAGCAGATATTTACATTTGAACAACTGGACAAGTAATCTGCTGTTAAAACCTTCTAAACAAATTAATGTAATACAAAGATGAATTAGTATTTTATTTTGCATTCTCAGAAGTTTAGTCTTGACCATATAAAGAGTTTATGTAAAGTGTTGATCACTTGATCAAATAAATGGCAATGAAGGGGACAGACCCCAGCAGTAGGTGAGTAGTAGAGAAATACAAACTGTCTACTTTTTAACAGCAAGACAAGACTTATTCAAAGTGGTTTAGGTGAAAATCGAGTTTAACTCTGAGTTCAGGGAAAATCATGTTTTCACCTAACCTGCAGGTTTTAAAATGGTTTTGAATGTTACTAAGGTGGCCTGTTAGCTTACAGCACATTTGACCGACAGATTGTGATTTTGAATGTAAACATGCAGAAAGTTGAACTCTGCAGCATTCAGAGCCGTGACGTCATCAGGCTTTGATCTTCGTGACGTCACCAAGTCTCGGGCAGCAGCTCACCTAATAACTGCAGCTTCACAGGCAATCAGACAACTTCTGAACTTCAATAGAGACACCGCGCTAGTGAGCAAGAGAGTTAATACTCGACAAACAAACGTTTAACAACATCTATTCAGTGAAATACTTGGTATTCAAGTAAAAAGTTATTCTTCCAGTTAAAAAAATGGCAAGTTCTAGCGACAGACCCCAAAACTGTAGAAACAACAGACAGACAGCTCCCAGGAACAAGAACATGAACTGCCAAGTCCTTCATGAGGAAATCAGGAGGCTCCAGGGGATGCTGAGCAGGGGCAGAGAGAGTTTTAACTACGAACAGAACTGGAGGATCCAACTTAGCCAAGAGCTAAGCCAGACAAAGGAACAGCTGGCTTACCACAAAGCCAAGACTGAATCCTTTATCAACAAGGAGAAAGAAACTAGAAAGGAGCTTGAGAGGCTGAGGCAGTACAGTGACGCTGAAGCTCTCAGCGCCTCAAACATTGCCACTCAGGTGGGCAATGACATCAAGAGGAAGAAGAAGAAAGATCTTCAGAGAGATTACGAGGAGCTGAAAGTGGCATACGCCATA